AAGCAAAATATCCTCCTAAGTCAAATAGCATTCAACACATTTTTCTATGCAGTTATTTCAGTGGAGTTCTGGTTTGAACTTAGACCTATGTTCACATGTTAGCACTGATACTGTTTCATTGCACTTGGGCAATGAGGGGAGATTGCTCTTATTTTCCTGTGATGAGCTTTCTGACTACTGAGATACATTTATGTCACCATAAAAAAAAAACAACTAGGAAGGGAGGGTGAGATTGCAAGCATGACAACCTGGGTTCAAATCCTCAGCACCCATGAAAGGCCAGGTGTAGCTTCACATACCTGTAACCCCTGTGCTGTAGCGGATGGAGACAGGAGGATCACTGGGGCTTGCTGCCAGCCAAGCTCCAGATTCAGTGAGAGACCCTGTCTCAAAGGAATACAATAGAATGGTACAACGGGATACCTGATTCCTTCCCCTTAGCCTCTGTGCATGCACGCACCCCCCCCCCCATACACACACAAATAGGATATGGGTTCTAAAAATACAATCCATATTTGTCAGTTAAAATATCTCTATAGGGTGCCTACCATGTGCTACATGTTGCTCAAAGACTAAAGCTAAAATGTTGAACAAAAACTGATTTCCAGAGCTTCCTGTATAGTGGGAGGAGGCAAACAATGAGCATATATGAAGAAGTAAATTATGTCAGATGGGGATTCCTACAGTGAGGAAGATAGAGCCTGGTAAAGGAAGCTGGGATCCCATTGGAGGAGAAGTCCTTTTTTTGTCTTGGAAGGACAAGCAGAGACTTGAAAGACTTGAAAGAATTTAGAGTATTGTGGCTATCCAGGGAAAGAGCAATCCAGAGAGAAGAAACAGCCTTGAATGGAACCATGATTGATGAATTAAGAGAAACAGTCTGGGCATGTGAACTGCACCTTCAGAAGAGCGACAGATGATGTCACCCTGACTGACAGAGGTGTACACTGGGGGGACTTGGCCTTCATGCTGAATGAAGCCAAAGCCACTGGAGGTCTTGAGTACAGGCATCACAGAGCCAGTTTCACTTTTCAAAGTGTCTCTCTGGCTACTGAGGTGAAATGTCTACAGAATGCCATCACTGAAGAGTGTGGATAGGTAGAGGACAGACCACATTGATAGCAGTGAGGAGAGAATGAAATGGTTTCTGTGGAAACATTCCAAACATGTCTGTCAATGGCTTAGCTAGGACTAGGGTGTGAGAAAAAGGAGGGAAGAAAGAAAGGAAAGGAGTCAAGGATGACTTCTCAACCACAAAGATGGAACTATGATTCACTAGACTAAGAAGTATGGTAGAAAAGATTTGGGGGAGGAAATGAACTAGGACGTCAATCTTTATCATCTTAAGGTCAAAATGGGTACCTATTGGCTGGGGCCAGAAAGATAGCTTGGCAGGTAAATGTACTTGCTACCTACCACATCTGACAACAGGAGTTTGATCACCAGGACCTACCTGGTGGAAGAGAAGTGACTCCTCTAACCTCTACGTGCATAGCATGCCATGTGTGCCCCCAGTAAATTAAGTAAATGTAATTTAAAGTAATAAACCAGTTGTGTCTTGAAAGCAGTTAGAATGAGTCTGGGGTTAAGGATAGAGGTAAAATCTTGAGAGTTAACATAATTGGGTGGTATCTAAAGCCTAGCTGTCATATTTTGTTTTTAAATTTCAACTTAATTCTCATTTATTCATGATATACATTATATTGCTTTAAATCATTTAAGGCATGTGTTTGTTGTTTTTGCCATGTAGAGAAAAGTATAATGGCGAAATTCGAGAAGATTGTGATCTCCAAATGGCTAAGTAGTAGCCATCATTACTCCTTATCATACTAAGCTTATGATTGTCATAATTGATCTGGATAACTCAGTAATAGGTTTGTGGCATAAAACAATACATCCAGCCAGGTGGTGGTGGCGCACACCTTTAATCCCAGCCCTTGGGAGGCAGAGGCAGGCGGATTTCTGAGTTCGAGGCCAGCCTGGTCTACAGAGTGAGTTCCAGGACAGCCAGGACTACACAGAGAAACCCTGTCTCGAAAACAACAACAACAAAAACAAAAAACAACAATACATCCCTGGACTTAGTCATCTGTGTTTTCATGTTCTGTACTGTCCTGATATGGCTAGTGCTGCCTCGATCATTTCAATTTCCACATTATCCAAATTGAAATATACTTTGTTGTTTAAATAGTGTTATATGTAACACATTAGACAAGCTTTACAAATTTTTTAAACATTGTATTTTATATGTATGTTTGCCTGCATGTATATTTGTATACCGTATGTGTGCAGTGCCCACAGAGGCCGGAAGAGGGGTTGGCTCCCCAGGACTGGAGTTAATAGAATGTTGTGAGCTGCCATTTGGGTGCTATGAAAGAACAGCCCATGGTCTTAAAATGACGAGCCACTTCTCCAGCCCCAGCTTTCAAATTTTTGGTTGAACATGCCCTCTTAATTTATTTTTTAATCTCCATGCATGTGTATATATGAGGGCATGCATGTGCCATGTTGTACATGTGGAAGTCAGGCTCAGCCCTCACGTCCACCTTGTTGGAAACAGTCTATTGCTCACCATTGGATATGCTAGGCTAGCTGCCCAGCGAACCCCTAGCTGGTTACCTGACTATGCCGTCCATCTCACCAGAGGAATGCTGCTGGCTTTGCATGGGTTCTGGGGATCTGAACTCAGGTCCTTATGCTTCCTTAGCAAGCATTTTATCTGTAGAGCTATTTCCCCAGTCTAAAACCATTTTATTTTTTAAAATTTACTCATTTTTAATTGACACATAAAATTATATCTATTTATGAAGTACTATACAAGCTTTACTTTTATAGAAGTTTTATTGTTGTTCTCAATAAAAATATTATCAGTAACAACAATTATGCCATAAATTTTGATTTTTACCAAATGTACAAAATTGTGCAAATAATTTTAAAACATTTTCATTGCCACATAAATCCCTGTACCCAATTTTCAGCCACACAATTTCCACCCCTAACCCTGAGAAATTAGTTTCCTCTTTCAATTTGTCTTGAAAACATCTCATATCCAGGAAATCATTTGTGTCTGTATATAATTCATTGCGTCTGTAGACAATGTACACATAAAATAAAAATGTTAATGAATATTTCATTTTTATGTGGAAGTCTGTTTTGAATTCTTGGGAAGTATACCTTTTTTATATTTGTCCATTTGTATGTGTGTGTGTACACTTGCACGTGTGCGTACATGTGTGCAATCATGTGCCACAGCGAGTATGTAAAGATAGAGGACAACTTCTGGCTCCATAGCCCCTGCTGCTAGGAGCCTCAGCTAGAGTCACCATCATAGACTCTCTGGAGCCTCTCCCATCCCTGGTCTCTGGCAAGTCCTAGAGATGACCTGACTCTCACTCCCCCTCATCCCTGCCAATTTCTGTTCACTCTCCCTGCCCTCTTTCCCCTGCTTTCCCTACACCTGTCCCCCACCCCCACCCCCTTCCCTTTCCACTCCCTTCTGCCACTCAGTTCTCTCCCTCCATCCACCTTTGATGACCAATTTATTTCCCCTTTTGAGTGAGGTTCAAACATCCTCCCTGAGCCCGCGTTAGTTAGGTCTTTGGGTCTGTGGATTGTAGAGTGGTAATCTTGTACTTTCTGGCTAATGCTCACTTCTAAGTGAGTGCATACTATGTGTGTCCTTTTGGATCTGGATTACCTCACTCCAGATGATGTTTTCTAGTTTCACCCATTTACCTGCAAATTTCATGTTGTCCTTGTTTTTAATAGCTGAGTAGTATTCCATTGGGTAAATGAAACACATGGGGGTTTTTTGTTTTCCATTCTTTGAGTGAGGGATATCTGGGATGCTTCCAGTTCCTGACTATTATGAATAAAGTTGCAGGGCTTCAGCTGAATATGTAAAAGTGGAGGGCCCTGCTGGGCATAGGTGGAAAAAGAGAACCTTGACCTCATGAAGGCTGGATGCCCCAGGGGGTGGGAATTTTGAGGGTGGGGAGGTGGGAGTGGGGGGGGTAGATAGAGGTTACATCCACAGAGAAGAAGGAGGAGGGGTGAGGGGATTGGGGGTTCCAAGGGGGTGGTGGGGGATGGGGTAAGGGGACAACATAGGAAATGTAAATAAATCATCCAATAAAAAAAAAATGAATAAAGTTGCTATGAACGTAGTGGAGCCCATGTCCTTGAGGTATGGTGGCACATCTTTTGGGTATATGCCTAGGAGTTGGTATAGCTGAAGTAGAACTATTCCTAGTTTTCTGAGAAACCTCCAAATTGATTTCCAGAGTGGTTGTACAAGTTAGCACTCTCACCAGCACTGGAGGAAGATTTGCTCCACATCCTCACCATCTTGAGCTGTTGCCAGAGTTTTTGATCTTAGTCATTCTGACTGGTGTGAGGTGGAATCTCAGAGTCATTTTGATTTGCATTTCCCTGATGACTAAGGACATTGAACATTTCTTTAAGTGCTTCTCAGCCATTAGAGATTCCTCTGTTGAGAATTCTCTGTTCACCTCTGTACCCCATTTTTAAAATTGGTTTACTAGCATTTCTAATGAATAGGACTTACAAGAAACAGAAGTCAGTTACCTGACTGCAAATGTCTTTAAAGTGCTGGCATGGCTTTGCTGTTTTGCTTGCTCATTTGAGATGAGGTCTTGCTTTCAAGATGGCCTTGAACTCCTGGCCCAAGTGATTTTTCTACCTCTACTCTCTGTTTGGAATTTCTATAAATTACATACTATGTAGAATCTCTTTATACAGAGAAGTATATAGATCTTAGTCATGGTAGTATAAATATGTCTAACAAGAAAGACGTGCTGGCTGTGCATGGGGTATTTTGGCCTTGGTCCCCGCACTGGGGAGTCCTCCGTGCAAGACCATCGAAGCTTCTAGAACAGCCGGGGCCAAGGGAGGAATCATGGATTTTATTAGTCTAACAAGACCAAAAAGTTAGTATTTATGTTTTGTTGCTGTTTTAAAAAGATGGGTTTCCTTCTTAGATGCCGACCAACAACGAAGAGAGAAACTGAGGAAGGAGTTGGCACGATGTGAGAAGGAGTTTAAATTAAGTAAATCTGCGATGCAGGCCAATTCTAAGATGAATTCCAAGTTCTTTGTAAACTCCCTGCAGAAGGTAAGGTGGGTCCTTTGCTCCTTAAAGCAGGTGTTTGTAAGGCACATTGCTGCAGCCTGGCTTGGGCTGCAGGTTTGGGTCAGCAAATGTTGAGTATCAAGAGCCAACGGGTTCTCCTGTGTGCTTCTCAGGCCACAGCACCTGACACCTTGTCTTGTCAAATCTGCCCGCCAGTGGAAGGTGACCACTGTGGAAATAAATTCCTAACTGCGCTCCGGTCACTAGCTGGAAATGACAACGTGGCCTGCAGGCTGTAGTTGGCTGGTCTGGACTGTGGTTTTCTTGTTTGTAATCCTCTTTAACATTTGTTTGAAGAACTATTCTCCTTCTCACAGTTGGATAAGAAGTTGGATAAGATAGCAGTTTTCAGAGTCTCTCCAATGGATAGATTTTGTTTTTTAATTAAAAACATTTTGAATACAATGTATGTTGATCTCAATGAGTAATTTTATCTAGTGTTCTTTTATGCAATTCTTGGCAAAAAAATGCTGTGATTTTTTATCTGTTAATGTAGTGAATGACTTATGTCCTGGAACTTGCTGTGTGGACCAGACTGGCTCAAACTTAGAGCTCCAGCTCTACCTCTTGGGTGCTGTCATTAAAGCATTAGGTTTTCTATGTTGCTGAATTCAGTGGCTAAAACTTTGTTTAAGATTTTGGCATCTGAGCACTGTTGTTACTGCTATGCATTTTTCTTTCTGTCTGGTTATCGTTATCTCTTTTTCTATATTCTAGCTTATAGACGTTGGAAATTAATTGACTTTTTTATGGGTGGTATTTTTTATTTAAAAATATTTTTCATACAATATATTTTGACCATATTCATTCTCCTTCCCCCACTTTATCTTTACCTACCCAATTTCATATTCCCTCTCTCTCTCTCAAAAATTAAAATGAACAATAACAAAATGAAAATCAAAGCAAACAAACAATAAGACAAAACCAACCAAAGTGCACAAAAAAGCAGAGTCCTTTTGTGCTGGCCAACTCCAGGCCTGGGGTGTGGCTCATACTCAGGGTCACTTGCATACAGCTTCTTAGGTAAGGTGGAACTTGTGTTCATTTTCCCCTCCCCATGCTGGGATCTTGTCTGGTTTGAACCTGTGCAGGTCTTGTGTGTGCTGTGTCTCTGTGTATCTGCCATGTTGTGTGTGAAAACTCTGTTTCTTTGGAATCATCCACCACCTGTGGATCTTACCATCTCTCCACCAACTTTTCCACACAAACCCTGACGTTGAGGGGAGGCGTTTGATAAATACATCCCATTTAGGATGGAGTGCTCTCACCCTCTGTACATTGTCCAGTTGTGATTCTCTGCGTTCTCTTGCAAAACGAGCTTCTCTGCTGAGGCTGGCTGACGCACCGGCTTGCAGACAGCATACTTTTAGTTTTCTGAACAGCTGACTTTTTTATTTTTATGTAGCTTAACATTGAAACGTTCACTTTTACAAACTTTAGTACTGTAGCAATCTCACATGTTTCTTTCACTCATTGTGAAATGATCAGCTCATTCTAGTGTTCTTTCCTCTCCAGCCTCCTCTAGATCACCGTCCTTTGATATGATTATAAGAGCCGGGCAGTGGTAGCCCAGGCCTTTAATCCCAGCACTTGGGAGGCAGAAGCAGGAGGATTTCTGAGTTCGAGGCCAGCCTGGTCTACAGAGTGAGTTCCAGGACAGCCCAGGCTACACAGAGAAACCCTGTCTCGAAAAAACAAAACAAAACAAAAAAGAAATAGTTTATTGAAATTTTTAAATTATATATTTTAATTTACTTTAAGAATCACTTGCTTGCCTCCATGGTAGTTCATATATACCTTTATACCTTTTTATAGTTCCATTTACAAATAATAGTAATTTTATTGCATATTTTATTTATTTACATTTCAAATGTTATCCCCTTTCCGGGTTTCCGCCTCCGGAAACCCCCTATCCCATCCTCCCTCCCCCTGCTTCTATGAGGGTGCTCCCCCACCCACCCACACACTCCCATCTCCCTGCCCTGGCATTCCCCTACACTGGGGCATCAAGCCTTCATGGACATTCATGCCCAGGACCAAGGGCCTCTCCTCCCATTGATGCCTGACAAGGCCATCATCTGCTATATATGCAGCTGGGCTCATGGGGCACTCTGTGTTTACTCTTTGGTTGGTGGTTTAGTCCCTGGGAGCTCTGGGGGATCTGGTTGTTTGATATTATTGTTCTTGGGGTTGCAAACCTCTTCAGCTCCTTCAGTCCTTTCTCTAACTCCTCCATTGGGGACCCCATGCTCAGTCCAATGGTTGGCTGCGAGCGTCTGTCTCAGTAGTTGTCAGGTGCTGGCAACTATATCAGGCTCCTGTCAGCAAGCACTTCTTGGCATCCGCAATAGTGTCTGTATATGGATTTGGTGTCTGTATATGGGATGGATCCCCAGGTGAGGCAGTGTCTGGATGACCTTTCCTTCAGTCTCAGCTCCACACTATACCACTCCTGGGCATATACCCAGAAGATGTTCCAACATATAACAAGGACACATGCTCCACTATGTTCATAGCAGCCTTATTTATAATAGCCAGAAGCTGGAAGGAACCCAGATGTCCTTCAACAGAGGAATAGACACAGAAAATGTGGTACATTTACACAATGGAGTACTACTCAGCTATTAAAAACAATGACTTCATGAAATTCTTAGGCAAATGGATGGAACTTGAAAATATCATCCTGAGCGAGGTAACCCAATCTCAAAAGAACACACATGGTATGTTCTCACTGATAAGTGGATATTAGCCCAAAAGCTCGAAATACCTAAAATACAATTCACAGACCACATGAAGCTCAAGAAGAAGGAAGTCCAAAGTGTGAATGCTTTAGTCCTTCTTAGAAGGAGAAACAAAATACTCATAGGCGGTAGAGGGTGGGAGGGACTTTGGAGGAAGAGAGGAGGGGGAGGAGGAAAAAGAGGCAAGATCAGGTCTGTGAGGAGAATAGGGGAGATGTACAGAGGATCATATTTGAACAGAGGTGAGTAGCAACAGGGGATAGGGAACTAGGGGTAGCCACCAGCAAGTCTCAGATGCCAGGAAAGCAAGAGGTTCCCAGGTCCCAACAGGGATGAGATTAGCTGAAATGTTCAACAAAGGGGAGGGAGAACCTGTAGAGACCATATCCAGAGGTTAGGCAAGGCCCCCAGTTGGGAGATAGGGGCACTCACTCATCTCCAAATTTTTAACCCAGAATTGCTCCTGTCTGAAGGAAATACAGAGACAAAATAATAGTAATTTTTAATTTGCCTACATTTTTTGTCTACCTTTTTTAATTGATTTATTTATTTTATATCCTGATTGTAGCTCCCCCTCCCTCCTCTCCTCCCAGTCTCTCGCTCTCACTTCCACCTCTCCTCAAGAAAGGGGAGGCCTCCCATGGTTGTCAGTCTGCCTTGGCATATCAAGTTGCAGTAAGACTAGACAAGGCAGCCCAGTTATGGGAAAGAGATCGAAAGGCAGGCAACAGAATCAGAGGCAGCCACTGCCCCCACTTTGGGAGTCTCACATGAAGACAAAGCTACACAACTGTAACATATGTTCAGAGGGCCTAGGTCAGTCCCCCGAATGCTCTCTGGTTGGCACTTCAGTCTCTATGAACCCCTATGGGTTCAGATTAGTTGATTCTGTAGGTTTTCTTGTGGTGTCCTTGACCCCTCTAGTTCCTTTAAACCTTCCTCCCTGTCTTCCATAGGATTCCCCAATCTCCACTTAATGTTTGGCTGTGGTCTCAATTTTTATCAGTTGCTGGGTGAAGCCTCTCTGAGGACAGTTATGCTAGCCTCCTGTCTGCAAGTATAGCAGAATATCACTAATAGTGTCAGGGGTGGAATGGGTCTCAAGATGACAGTCATTGATTAGCCCTTCCTTCAAATTCTGCTCTATCTTTTACCCCTGCACATCTTGTAGGCAGGACAAATTGTGGGTCACAGATTTTATGGCTGGATGGGTGTCCTAATCCCTCCATTGGAAGTCTTGCCTGGTTACAGGAGATGGCCAGTTCAGGCTCCATGTCCCCCATTGCTACGAGTGGAGACTAGTGTCCACTTATGAGTGAGTACACACCATGTGTGTCTTTCAGGGTCTGGGTCACCTCACTCAGGATGATCTTTCCTAATTTGATCCACTTAGCAGCAGATTTCTTGATGTCATTGTTTTAAATGGCTGAGTAATATCCCATTGTGTAAATTTCTTTACACATTTTCTTTATTTATTCTTCTGTTGAGGGACATCTGGGTTGTCTCCAGCTTCTGGCTATTACATATAAAGCTTCTATGAACATAGTGGAACATGTGTCCTTGTGGTATGGTGGAACTTCTTTTGGGTATATACCCAGGAGTGATATAGCTGGGTCCTCAGGTAAGTCTATTCCCAATTTTCTGTGAAACTGCCAAATTGATTTCCAGAGTGGCTGTACAGGTTTGCACTCCCACCAGCAATGGAAGAGTGTGCCCCTTGCTCCACATCCTCATCAGCATGAGCTGTTGCTTGAGTTTTTGATTTTAGCTATTCTGACAGGTGTAATCTTAGAGTTGTTTTCATTTACCCTAATGACTAAGGATGTTGAAGATTTAAGTGCTTCATGGCCATTAGAGATTGCTCTGTTGAGAATTCTTTGTTTAAATCTGTATCCCATATTTTAATTGGGTTGTTTGGTTTGCTGATACCTAGTTTCTTGTCTTCTTTATATATTTTGGATGTTTTGGTCTCTGTCAGATATGGAGTTGATGAAAATCTTTTCCCCTTCTGTAAGCTGACATGTTGTCCTTTTGACAGTATCCATTGCCTTACAGAAGGTTATCAGTTTCATGAGGTTCTACTTATTGTTGGTCTTAGTGCCTGAGCTGTTGATGTTCTGTTCAGGAAGCTGTCTCCTTTGCCAATGCATTCAAAGCTATTCCCCACTTTCTTTTCTATCAGATTTAAGTGTATACGGTTTTATGTTGAGGTCTTTGATCCACTTGGACTTGAATTTTGTG